GGACCACCAAAAAAGGGACGTCAAGGGGTGCCCCCAAGGGGGTGCCAAGGGGGTGCATCAAGGGTGGGCGTCAAGGGAGTGCATCAAGGTGGGCGGCTCAAAGCGCGCGGTTCAAGCGCGCAGAGTGGCTGCACCCCTTGATGCCCGTCCATGGGCGTCTGCAGACGTGACCCTTCGGCCCAACACAATTCATCCCTTGAGGCCCTCAGTCGGAGGGCGTCAGTTACACACGTGCACCGATCCTGGGTCCAGGATCGGTGCATGTGCTCTCCTGGCAGAGCCAGGAGGGCGCATGCACCAGTCCTGGGCCCAGGAGGGCGTATGTACACCAGTCCTCGGAAGCTTCTGAGGCCGTCGAGGGGAGGAAGCGGAGTCACAATGGGCCCCCGTCTTGCAAGATTGCCTGCTTGTCCTCCCTCTCCCCCTCCTCGTCCTCCTCGTCCGCCTCGCTATCATCCTCGTCCTCCTCGGCGGTGGTGGGGAGGAGCGGCGAGGACGAAGGGGGGAGGAGGAGGAGGAGGAGGAGGAGGAGGAGGAGGAGGAGGAGGAGGAGGAGGACCCAGAGGGTCGAAACCAGTCAAAATAAAGGTCCGACCTCTATTCAGGGTGCTTCCCCTCTTGTCGGACATCCAGACCGGAGGTTTTCAGTCATCTTGGGTTGGGTGGGGAGGAGGATTAATAACCAGAAGACAGACTCGTCCTTGCGTCGTGATTCTCGTCGAAGCTACAGCGTTCTACGCGCGCGTGCGATGTACTATTTCAACGACTTCGTATAGCCATGTCTCGATGTCTACGGTTCAGCGCACTGTGCAGCCCTGGAGCTTTCATGCTGCGGGTCAAGTACGATTCCGCCCCGAATTCTCACAAGACAGTTCGACGCTGGAGCACCACCGCCTGCCCAAACGGCGAGCAGAAGTCGGGCGCAGCCCCGCAGGAATCGCCAGGGGCGCGTGCCACCACCCACAAGGCGCGCCACGGGTTGCGCGATCCGCTGGATGTATTTCGGGTTTCGGAAACGTAGCATACATTACCAGTGGCGGGCTGTTTTTCAATCCCAAGACTTTTGGGGGGTCGGGGACGATGTCGGAGTGGTGTGGTGTATATTGTTTCCCCTGCTTCCAAGGGAAACAACGAAAAGTGTATACACCAGGATCTATACACCAGGATCCGCTTTTCTGTGCAAGTGCTAGTGCAGGGCCGGAAAATGCGTCGGTGCACAGATTTCGTTTCCCTAAGGTTCCGTCACCCATGGGTTGCCCTATCCATGGGTTGCGCCATAGGCTGCGATCCATGGGCTCCGCGTGCCACGGGTTGGGCCTCGGGTCGGAGGACACCGATCGCCCAAATAGAGCGGCGTCAAGCAGAGCAGCCTCGGAGGCCAAACAACATCATCCCTTGGTGGCCTCTTTGGGGACGCCCGTGGGTCCACGCGGTGCAGGGCGCCGCCGGGCGACTTGGGGCAGGCGCCCCCCCCCTTCCCCTCCTGGGGGGGCGATAAGAAGGGGGGGGCAGCGAGGGCTGCCAGAAAGGGGCCCTGAGGGGTCGGCATTCGAGTGCGCCCTCACACACCGTCCAGTCTTTAGTTGAGTCATGTATGCATGCAGTGGTGCAGCCTCCCCCCCCCCTTCCCCTCCTGGGGGGGCTATAAAGGGGGGGGGGGCGGCGAAGGCTGCCAGAAAGGGGCCCTGAAGGGTCGGTATTCGAGTGGGCCCTCACACACTGTCCAGTCTGCCGGGGGTGGTCTTACAAGCCTGGCTTTTCGACGTTTTCGTTTGATTTGTTCCTCCTCCTCTTCCTCCTCCTCTTTCGTTGAGGCGTGTATGCATCCGGTGGCGGCTGCGGCATCCGGCCAATATCGGGTCCTCGCGGGCAGCCGTGAACGGCTGCCTTGCTACAGGCGCCACGTGTGGGGAACACCATGGCCTGCCCTTGCCGAAAGACAGACAGAAAGAATCAAGGAACAATACAGAAACACACACACATGAAGACAGAAAGAAAGTTTGGGGCCTTTAGGGCCCTTGCCGAAAGAAATAAAGAAATAAAGAAAGAACGGAGCCTTTCTGGCCCCAAAAGGACACCTTTCGCCCCCGCCAGCTCTTGCCCCCCCATGAATTCGCGCCCAGCCCGCGGCCTCCCCCCCCCCGCCCGCACGCCGTCGCCGCCCGTTGCTCCGCCGTCCCCTCGCCCTGCGCTGCGCACAGGACATCATGGCGCTCATCGTATCGCGGGAGCAGGCGCGGCTCTGCAGAGGGAGAGCGGCCAGGAAGGGCGGGGGAGGAGGAGGAGGAGGAGGAGGAGGAGGAGGAGGAGGAGGAGGAGAAGGAGAAGGGGGGAGGGGGGGGGAGGTTTTTGTTACGTTCGCCAAGACGAGGAGGAGAAGGAGGAGGAGGAGGAGGTCCAAATCCACCTGCCCCAACCGAGCCCGAAGGAACGGGAGGGGGCCGAACTGAGGGCGCCTCAGGATAACCCAGGGCGCCGAAAGATCAACCCAAAGATCGATCAAGCAAGGGAGGCCAGGTCACCAATGCCCTATCCACAGACAGTGGGCGGCGAGGCGTCAGCAGGAACAGAAAACACCGAAAGAGTGGTGGCTCTTGAGACTCACGTTGGGATCGGGTTCCCACTCCTGGGCCCAACTCCAGATCTTAAACGCTTTCACACTATATCTAACGTTAGCGAACGTGTTGCGATTCTGGGGAGGCCCAGGACAATCCTGCCTCAATTCCCTTTCACAGTTGCCAATGTGAAGACTATACCGGCCGCACAGCTCACAGACTCCAGCAGGACCATAGGAAACGATGCTGTGCCCATCCCCAAGGACGGGCGGCCCCAGGCGCGGCGAGGAAAACAGGGCCCAATAGTTTTCGGGCGTCTGCGCCTCATGCAAACAGATTTTGCGCCGAGCCGGGGTGCCACGCACTCGCATCAGATCATACCGAGTAATCGACAATTTGGGGGGCGATCCACGTATTCTTCGGCTGCGGCGGGCCTGGCCCCACCTCAAGAGGACAGGCGCACCGACCTCGAGACGAGCAACGCGAGGTGGCGCGCAGTGGGTTTGCAGGTGCTTCGGACCCAAACGCAGGTGGAGAGGCAGGCCCCACGAACCGGCAAGATGAGCCCAGGAGGGCCCCCTGAAGCCCCCCGAAGACCGGCTCGAGATGCTCCCGGGGAGGCGTCTGAGAGGGCCTGGCGGCGCCCAGAAACCGAGCACCTGACACGGGAGTCGTTCTGGGAGGCCCGAGGGCGCCCCCCCCAGCCGCGCCCACGGCCCTCGGGGCGGCGGAGTGAGCGGCCCGCGGGGAGGACCCGAGGATCAAGTCGGGCATGTCCCTCTACTGGAGGAGAGTTCAAGAATAGTCAAAGATAGTCTGCGGACGATGTTCCTCGATTAGTTTTAAACGTTTTTGTTGTGTGCATATGTTTAAAACTTTTGTTGTTCCCCAC